TCATCATCATCATCATCATCATCTATCATGTCAATTCTCACTTACGGTGACCCTTTCCAGGGTTTTCTAGGTACAGAATACTCAGAAGTGGTTTGTCATTCCCTGAGACTGTGCAGTTTGCCCATGACGACACAGACTAAGTTTTCTTGCAGGAGGCCCACTGGGAATTGAACTCACAACCCCTTGCTTCGTAGCCAGATATCTAAATCACTGAGCTATCCAGCCAGCTAAAGAGAGACAAAGGTGACAGAAACTTCCCAATACAGTATATTTATTTTCAGGTTCCTCAAATTGTCTTTAAGAAAGCCTTAAAAATATCACCCAAAGAGTCTGGCTACATCTGGCTGCTGCTAATGTAGCAAAGAGAAACATGTACAGTAGTTAGGAAAGCTAAGTGGAATATCAAGATTACTAGTGTCCTAATTCTTCAGGAGATATGGAATATATCTCAAAAGTTTAGTTTGGTGTGGACAAGAATTGTAGCCCAGCATATATGGACCATGGCTACCATCAATCCTCATCACTACTATGCTGGAAGACTGATGGGAATTATAGTGGAAGACCAAAGGAAGACTAAAAATAAGAACGTGAAAAAATCTTACCAGTATCTCCTGTCTTGACTGATTCAAGTTGCCTTGATACAAGCAATAGTCTGCTGATGATTCTCTATTCTCTGCAAGATTTGTACGGTAGCTGTAAGAGCAAGACACTGAGCATTCCACACACCCGCCCCATGCTGTGCGCAATTTGCTCAAAATATCTCTTTTCTTTTTTAAAAATCTAAGTACAAACACCAGGCAAAATGAGTAGAAGATTTCTCACACACACCAAAAAACAAACAAACAAACAAACAAAAAAAAAAACACCATTCAAGACTGAAAAATCATGCAGGCAGGGTGAAAAATGTTTGTAAAACAAACAAACAAACAAAAAAACACCATTCAATGCCTCAACTTCTCTACAATCCATGTGGCCCGGCAGCAGTGAAATGTTGTGCAATTGCAGATGTTTTTAAAAATTGGTCTCGCAAATGCACAAATTCTCTCCAAGACAGAAAATCATGCAGGCAGGGTGAAAAATTTTGGGATTTTCCATGGAAAAACAAGATCTAGCAAGAAGATATGTTCTTAGAAAAAATATATACAATTTTTTAAAAAATCTAAAAACAAAACCAAGCATTTAACAAAAGGAAGGTAAAAGAAAATCCACATACATAGCATACCCCACCGCTGGGATCCGTTACACTATTAACCCTTGTGGGGGCCCCTTCCCCTTCCAAAAATGCACAGACTCCTGAATTGGGGTTTGCCCCTTTATTAATACAAACATTGATAATTTCTACCCATGTATCTACAAACACATCTCTACCAGTTAACTCCCCTCTTAACTCTTATGTCTTATGTTATACCGTAAGTTTATCATGAATAGTTCTATCCCAGACTTCCCTATACCATTCACTTAACAAATATTATGAGCCGTTTTCCAATTTACACTCCTAACACTGGCTTAATTGTACCAGTAGTGTTCTTTACATTGCACCATGTTGGTGAACAGCTGTCACTCACTCTTTCAAGGAAAAGCAGAACACCTTGTGCCAAACTAAGAGATTTTTCTGCTTTTTAAAGCAAATAAGATGGCATTCTTCCCTGCTGGATCATTCAAGTGTAGGAGTGTCCCTGTAGTCCTTGAAATGCAGTAAATAGGACACTCCTGAAATATTAAGTATTTTGCCACTTTGTGAATTAGCAGTTTTGGAGATAACTTCAAATTCATTGTATGAATTCATTCATAGTGTTTTGCAGATGGGTTCAAAAAGTGCTCTCTCTCTCTCTCTCTCCTTTTGATATTAAAGTGTAACCCTGATGATTATTCCCTCAACATGACAAATGTCACAGATCCTTAATGCAAAGATCCATACCATCTCTCATCTTGCTTTGATCATGTGCGGGTATCACTCTCTTGCTTTTGAATGTGGAATGGTCCTGCAAATCCAGAAAGGCTGGACTTTTCTTAGGCATATTTTGACTTATTATCCGGGAAAGCTCTACATTCCTCTTTCAAAGCACCAGTCAAGCTACATTATGTGGATTTTGTTCTTACATCCTGTCAGTCTCCTTCTGACTTAGGACAACCCTATGCATTGGTGATTTTTTTTCAAAGGTCCTATAATTAAAAAAAGCCTTGCTCAAGACTTGTGGGTAACAAGGGTAACTATAAAACCCACAGTCCATTTTAAAAACATATTATTACGGAATCCACAATTATTTCATTTTTATATGTATCTAAGGGCTTGGGCATTGTTTATTTGTCAAGGTTTTCATCCAGACCTATGTCTGTCTGTCTGTCTGTCTGTCTGCCTGCCTGCCTGCCCGTCTGTCTATCTAGCTATCTATTAGATTTCTATCCTGCCCATCTAAACCAAGGGTCTACATCACTATAACAAAGGTTTTAGGTCACCCAGTGTAGTGTAGTGGATAGAGTGAAGGACTAGGACTCTGGAGAAGAGGGTTTGAATCCCCGCTCAGACATGGAAGCTCACTGGGGGAGTGGAACTAGCAAAACCACTCTTTAAATACCCCACTTACCTTGAAAACCCTATTATGGTTGCTATAAATTGGTTCCAACTTGATGGCACAGAGTGATAACAACAACAAAGGATTTAAGCCTTGTTTGAACATTAGAAATAAGAAATGGTTCTTCACCCGGAGGAATGGCATTAAAAGGCAGCAAACTTTCTGTCCTTTCACTTTTTTTAAATTCACAAATCTGAGTGATTTTCTGCTTCTAGCAGAATAGATTTTTGAAATATTTTAACCTTTTTAAAAAATGACCCAAAGTAGAGCACTCAAGGATCATTTCCAAGTATTTAACTCAGTGCCTTCCTCCGGGCGTTGTTAGTTATCCCTCAGGTTTGCAAGGAAATAGTCAGTTAAGGCCTAATTATCACCAAGGACATGTTAAACATCATCTAGATTCTTTCTTTGCGGAAATGCCACTTGTGTATAAAGAGGCACTTGAGGGAGACAGACCTTGTAGAAAAAAAATCAGGGCAAGGCCGTAAGGTCCTCAAAACAATACAAATTCAGGAACAGATTATACCTTTATTGGATCATTAAGAACATAAAACAAAAAATGAGCTTTTGATGATAATTTACCTTCCTCATACCCTGTAGAAGGAGAACAAGGAACAATGCCTGGAATTTAAAACTGGGCTTTTCTCAGTTAGCCATCTCATTTCCCCCCATAATTTTTTTAACAGAGAAAGCAGGTGAAATATAGGAACCGGCCATGGGGAGGAAGAGGGGACAGGCTTTGAAATCTTGATAGTTCCTCAAGCCAAAATTAAAGGCGCTGTCTGGTTCATGTTTCCTTTGGAATAAGTGCCCCTCATTGCGCTCAGTGGA